CGTGACAAGTTTACTGATGCTGGTATTATCTTTTAAAGTAATGCCCTTGAGCGTGACACGCTTAATGGCGCTGGTATTATCTTTCACAATATTGTATTCAGTAGGCCCCAATTGGACTATATATGTAATTTTTGTAATCTGGATGTCCTACCAGACGGAATTTCGAACATGATTAGTCTTCAAGTCCTTGATCTCTGTTAAAACTCTATCAGTTCTATAATTCCCAAATGGTTGTATACATTTAGCTATCTTGGAAACACTAGTTCTTTCAGAAAATAACTTTCATGTTGAAATTTCAAGTTCCATTGGAAACTTGACGGCCCTTGTCAATCTTGACACATCAGACAACCAACTTGATGGGAAAATCCCATCAGACTACACATCAGCCTCTGTAAGCTGATGGGTCTCGAATTTTCGAGGAACAATTTCAACGGAAGCATTGCAAAAATATTTGAAAGCTTGTCTACATGCAATTCAGGTCGCATTGGGTCATTGGGTCTATCAGATAATAATCATTCTGGGCATATGTTTCGGTACGAATGTATTAGTACATATGTTTCGGTACGAACGTATTAATACATAAATTTTGGTACCAATGTATTAGTACATATGTTTCGGTACGAATGTATCGGTACATAAGTTTCAATACAAAAATCGGTACATAAGTTTCGGTACGAGTGCATCAGTATATAAATTTCGGTATGAATTCATAACATAAGTTTCAGTACAAAAATTGGTACATAAGTTTCGGTACAAATGCATTGGTACATAAGTTTTGGTACAAATGTATTAGTACATATGTTTCGGTACGAATGTTTCGATAGATAAGTTTCAGTACGAATACATTGGTACCTAAGTTTCGGTACGAATGTATTAGTGCATATGTTTTGGTACAAATGTATTAGTACATATGTTTCTGTACGAATGTATTAATACATATATTTCAGTACCAATGTATCGGTACATAAGTTTCGGTACGATTGCTTTGGAATATAAGTTTGGGTATGAATGCATCGGTACATAAGTTTTAGTATGAATGTAGAAGATAAGTTTTGGTACGAATGTATTAGTACATATGTTTTGGTATGAATGTATTAGTCCATATGTTTTGGTACAAATGTTTTAGTACAGATGTTTCGGTATGAATGTATTGATACATAAGTTTAATACAAAAATCAGTACATAAGTTTCAGTACAATTGTATTAGTTTTGGTACGAATGCATCGGTACATAAGCTTCAATACGAATGTATCAATACTTAAGTTTTGGTAGGAATGTATTGGTACATATGTTTCGGTACGAATGTATCAACACATAAGTTTTAGTACAAAAATCGGTACGATTGCTTCGTAATATAATTTTTGGTAGAAATGCATCGGTACATAAGTTTCGGTACGAATGCAGAACATACATTTTAGTACAAAAATCGGTACATAAGTTTCGGTACGAATGTATTAGTACATATGTTTTGGTACGAATGTATTAGTACATATGTTTTTGTACAAATGTATCAGTACATATGTTTCGGTACAATTGCATCGGTACATAAGTTTCGCTACGAATGCAACGGTACATAAGTTTCGATACGAATGTGGTAGTACATATGTTTGGGTATGAATGTATTAGTACATATGTTTAGGTACGAATGTATTAGTACATAAGTTTTAGTACAAAAATTGGTACATAAGTTTCGGTACAATTGCTTTGGAATATTAGTTTCAGTTCATAAGTTTCGGTACGAATGCAAAACATAAGTTTCGGTACGAATGCAGAACATAAGTTTCGGTATGAATGCATTGGTACATTTGTTTCGGTACGAATGCATCGATACATAAGTTTTGGTATGAATGCGGTACATAAGTTTCAGTACGAATCTATCGATACATATGTTTTGGTACATACATAGATACGTAATATGCATATACATAGATACGTAATATGCATATACATAGGTACTTAATATGCATATACGTATGGAAAAAGTTTCTCTCAACTCGATTTGCTCGTTATTTTATTGGTCTCTACATGTAAAATATTTGCTCGAATATTTCTATCATATTGCCCTGATCACCTATTCTATTTCTAATTAATAATCAAGGAAATATTGTGGTAGGTGTACAATGTGTAGTCGACGCAAGGAACCTTTGGCATCCTGGTATTTGCTTAATGAATAATTAAGGATTGTGATAACCCCGCCATATGTAAATGCAACACGGCTGGTCTGTGTGTTTGTCCCAAGGAACTGGAGATACTAATGTCTGAACCCTCATCTGCATACTCGAAAGAGTTTCATTCAGACCCTAATAATAACAAGTCTTTAATTCTTTGTGGAGAAATTCTTCGGCTTGAAGATAATTTCCTCAGTGGATAAATTCCTTACTATTTGGACTATTTGCAAAACTTGACACTTCTCAACTTAGGAAACAACAGTTTGTGTGGGAACATTCCAACCTCCGTTGGACACTTAGGACTCCTCTAATCATTGCACCTGCGCAATAATCACTTATTTGGAGAAGTACCTATTTCCCTACAAAAATATGAGTCCTTGTTCCTTCTTGGCCTTTACACAAAAGAATTTGTTGGAAGTATACCAACATGGATTGGTTAAAGCCTTCCAAATTTGGGAGTTCTTAGTCTCCGTTTGAACATGCTTCACGGCAACATTCCTCATGAACTGTGCAGTCTTCGAAATCTCCAGATCCTGGACCTCGCGGACAACAACCTTTCTGGAGCAATACCAAAGTGTTTCAAGAATTTCACAACCATGGAAAATTTTTCAAACTCGGGATGTTCTCCTCTGGATCATATGCTTTTGGTTATGCTACTTTCGAGGAAAACTACGTAGAGAAAGCAATCTTGGTGAGAAAAGGTAGAGAAGTGGAGTACAACAAAATACTTACTTTGGTGACAAGCTGGGACCTTTCAAGCAACTTCATATCCGGAGAGATACCCGAAGAGTTGACCAACCTCAAGGAAATCTTTTGGTTGGAAACATTCCTTCAAAGATTGGTGATATGAGATGGTTAGAATCTCTCGTTTTCTTGAGGAACAAACTTATCGGTCATATTTCTCCAAGCATGTCAAAGTTAACATTTCTAAGCAACTTGAACTTGTCCTACAACTATCTGACAAGACAAATTCCAGAAAGCACACAGCTTCAGAGCGTTGATCGGTCGAGTTTCTTTGGCAATAAACTTTGTGGACATCCACAAGAGAAGTGCAGCATAAAACATGTTGGAAGTCCAGTTTCATTGGGTAATCAAAGGGAGGGAATTGCTTGTTTGCTTGAAGACGGTTGGTTCGATCTAAGCTTGGGACTAGGGTTTGCATTTGGTTTTTGGAGTGTTCTTGCCACGTTGTTGTTGAACATGTCGTGGAGCACTAAGTTTTCACGGTTCCAAAATAACATTGTAAGCAAGCTCTATGCCATAATTCAAGAGAAAACTATAAGCATTCGAACTTGAGTGCAAAGGAAAAGTGCATTGGTTTAACCAACTTGGCTACACCAATGTTTGAAAAGCTATATGGTATTATTGTTGAATCTTCTTAACTATTTCTGCATGTATAAGTTGTACCAATAATTATGTTTGTGTATGCGAACAGAGTAATTTTCTTGCTAATTTCAAACAAATACACAATCACAATGACAGTATTCCAAACAAACAATTGCATAACAGGAATCTAATTACAGACTACTCATCAACTTAGCATGCTTCTTTTTCAAATGAGATAACTACAAATTGCTTTAATCACTCACACAACTCCTAATTCAATTGGAAAAATCATATTTCACAACAATTCACACGTGCCTAATTGAGCGTTAAATATCGCAAACAATAAGCAACCTTCCAAGACCATCCCTCCTCCTTGTTGAATTCCGAGAAGCTCTTGGCGGAATGAAGTTTAGTTCTTTCCTTTCACTTCTCTCTACTTGCGTGAATCACCTCTTGTAAATATGACAATTTCAATACCATCAAAAGCTTAGGTTCATAGCATCAGAATAATTATTTTAAATTGAACATGCCATATGATCGTAATGTCATGCCACTATCAAAACAGAAATATCAGTGCCTTCAGATTACTATGATCGAAGTACATAAACTAATAAGGAAATAAATGCACGCCAAACAGGGGTTTTATATGGTAAATTGGGAGCCATGTAAGGTTGTCACACAAATGCACCAGGTACCGACAGAAGGAGTCTCGAATAAACAGATGGATATGGATCATATAAACATTCCAGAGTTGAGTAAGATAAAACAAAGATAATATGGCATCACAACAGGCTTCATATTCCATGCGATATGCAGAACAAAATAACCAATCTTCCACATACTTAATGATACCATCTCATTCAACCAATAATTAATGATAGAACAGAAAGATGGTGCATGATGCATTAGCTAGCAATACATGCAAGTGGGGGGTAAGAATATGGTGACCCTTGTTCCCGGATCAGAAACTTGGTTTTTCATCTCGCAAAAAAAATCTAGAGTCAGACACAGAAGTACTTATGATAAAACCAAAACCATACGGAGACAAGTGTTCATCCTTGTCATCACCATCGAACTAACAAACGTAATTGGGTCCCAAGAGACTAGATCCTGGATATGTACAAATCCTCTCTGGTTTACTCTCACTAAATACCGCACATGAGAGCTACACAGCACAAGCCTTCCCAAAAGGAGAAAAGGGGTACAAATACTCAATTCTTTATATGACAAAGTACATAGCTTCCCAAGTACAAGTTTTATATACTTACATGTGTGGACATTACTTTAGTCTAAAGAAAGCATTGCAATTGGCACTGTTCCTTACTGTTCATGGCTACAGTCAATTGTTTGCCACTTGATTTCACCTTATTTACAAGGAACCCATCAGATTTGGGCTGGGTTGGAAGGGTAATTATTAGAACTTAGAAGGGTAAATTTGTCCGTAGGGTTCACTGCCTTTGACTTCTTCTTGCTCTCTCTTCATTTCCCTCAACCTATGGCCCCAGCGCCGCTCACCCCATTCTTCTTCATCTTTTCTAAAACCTAGCCGTCCCTCCATCTCTCTCAACCCTAAACCATCTTCCCCTTCTCCGTAAAACCCAGAGGCCGAGAGGCCTGAGTCCACATCACAACTCGCCACTCCGGCGAGCCTCAACTCCATCAAACAACCACTAGCTCCCTGGACTCCCCTTTCTTTTCTCTGTAAACACCGAGGCGCACCAACGCCTCCATTTTCCGGCAAAACATGACTACAGCACCACCACCACTCGCTCCATCTCACAGAACCACTATCACTCACTCTGTTCTGCTCAGGAGACACAGGCGAGGCCTTTCACTGTGCACTGGCTCCGCCACTGTTCGTCGACTTCTCCTACGAGACTCACCTCTCCTGACCTCGGTAAGCCACCCTTACACTCCTCCCTTATATTTTCAATTTGGGACTCGAATTCAAGCTTACATGTCTTTTAGTTTTTCATGCTTCTTTCATCCAATCATCATAGCCCTTTCCTCTCTGTCTCTTTATAAACAATTTCCAATTGGTTTTTAGAGAGAGAAAGTGGCAGCAGCAGCAGTGGGAAGGAATAAGGACTATTCTTGTCTCTGTGATCGTCTCTGCCCTTCGAAGCTCTAGGGTTTGGCTTTGGCTCTGTTAGTTGTTGAGGTAGTTATTAATCCGTACTTTGATTGTAATTTTTTTTTTCAGTATTCAGTAAGTTTGATCAAATGCGTTTCTTTGGACTTGCATAAGTTGTGTATAAAATTGCTTTAATCATCTATTGGGTTCCTTTTGTATTATTGAGTTTTGGGTTTTGCTAGAAATTGTATAAAATTTGACCAAATTGCATAAATTATTGAGGTTTTGTTTGGTATTTTTATGGCTACTATGCTAATTAGTTCATACCCAAAAAGGAGCAGAGAATTAACTGTTCTAATCAGTAATTCCCCACTCTGAGAACTTGAGACCTTGGCTTGGACTGATATGCATTTCCAATGTTTTAGATTACATTGATCTGTATTATTTTAAAGTATATATAAAGATTAGTTTTTAGGTGTAAGCACTAAATATTGGATATATGGTATTTTCAGGTTCTTTGACATCCAATTGCATATAATCTCAATTTTCTCATGCAATTTTTGTCTGAGCTTCGGAATCGTTGAAAAATTTGTCTAAATAATTAATTGATTGAAATGGCTGTTAGTAATGAATGAGGTGTTTACTGTTTTTTGGTGTGTACAGAGCGAAAGATATGTTGTTAACAAGGGCAAAAACAAGATGCAGTTTGCTGCATATAGAAAACAGAGGTTAGTTTGATTCCAACTCCTTTTCTTAGTTTATTTGAATCAGAAATTGGTAAGTTCAAGTCCAATTTGATGATTTCTGGCAGATTCTTTAATCAGTGATTTTCTTAACCCTGATTACACGTATGAATCCTATTTGATAATGAAATAACATAGTTATTTTAGTTATAGTAAGGATTAAAGCTTTCTTTTATCTGTCCAATTTTTCCAAACTTAATAAATTAGGTTAGTTTTTAATACCTTTTTTATACTGCTCAATAAAAAATTTGTTAATCATTTTATTACATATAAAATAAATTTTTTCCTTTTTACATTGCATTTTAAATCTTTGCAAATAACTTGATTCAATATTGTCATATGGTATACATATTTCTATGCTAATGAGTGTATCCAATTTAGTTTAGTTGAATCAAATGTTGATAAACTTGAGTCCAATTCCGTCATTGGCTGCCAAACTCTAAGATCACTAATTTTGGCAATCCTAATGACACACATCAATCCCAATTAACAATGAAATCACATGGTTGTCATACTTATAGTAAAAACTAAGAGTTCTTTCATCTCTCCAGTTGTCCAAAGTTAACAAATTAAATTAGTTTTCTACACCTTTTTCATGCTGATTGGCTAAGAATGTGTGTATCATTTTCATACATGCCAAATAAGATTTCTGCTTTTTGTAATCCATTTCTAATCTTTATAAATTAATTGATTTAGTATTGTTATATAGTATATAAATTGGCATGTTAAGTGTATCAGTCTGTTGTTTTAACAGTTTTATTTTTTAATTAATCACTTTCCTTTCTGTTATATCTTTGCATTTTAAATTGAAGTTATTTACTAGAGTAATTATGTTTGTTTGATTGTAGGGATCCTATTGAAAAGCAATGAAGAAGAATTGAATTATTCTATTGCAGAGCTCAAGATAAACTACGCTTCTTTACCAGAAAAATTTACGAAATAAGAGTTGGATAAGATGGTAAGTAAGTGGGTTTGGTATTCAATGTGGTTGTGTTTAGTTAATTTCTGTAGAGTGTTAAATGCTTGAATACAAAGACTTTTGGCCTTCTTTGATGTCATAATTTTTGTTCCATCTTCTTTCGAATTTCTGTGCAAATATTTTTGAAGCCCAAGTGATTCAGATTTCAAATTTATGTGTACATTGATAAGTGTGGGTGTAGACACCCAATATGATTCTTACATGGTGTTGCTATGTGGATTTTGACGGAATTATATTGGGGATTGTCCAAATTTTGGTTTAGCTGCAGATGAAGCAAGATCAAAAGGTTATAAATTAGAGGTATAATTTAATTTTTATATTTGATGCATCGTTGGATTAATGAATACAGTAGGAACATTGACTTGGAGTATGTGCTTTCGTTCATTTTTTAGAATGGAAAACTGAATTTTGTGTTTTTATGAGTGTGTATATACTCAGTACTTATTTTAATTACAGTGGAAGTGATTGAAAATTATCGAGAATTCGTAAAGTTTACACACCGAAAGAAATAGATCGAAAATAGCATTATTTAGTAGTAAGGAAAATTAGGGTTTCAATTAAAGGATGGCAGGAGGAGGAGGAGGAAGACCTTTGGGGCAAACACCAACTTGGGCAGTTGTCGATATTTGTTTTCATTTGGTTTTGGTTTTGATCCACATCAAATATTTCATTCATTTAATTGGAAAGGTTTCCTTTCACACGTAATTGGGTTAATTTCATCTCATCAAGTCACTTTCGGGTTTATTATGAATGCGAAATGAATTATTTTGATTAAATTTGAATTGCAATCCTTGCAGTGGTTGACAAAGAGAAACAAAAGAGCTCTCTATGAAGCTCTTGAGAATATGCTATTAGGTTTAACGCACAGTTTTTAAACCTCTTAAACCCTGTTCGTTTTAGTGTTTTGCTTCATTATTTAACATTCATTTGGATTTGTGATTGATATCAACTTGGTCACGTTTTCATACTTGCAAAGCATCTTTAGAGTAATGCCTTTAAACTGTGTCAATTTTTCAATGAAAAACCTTGAGAACCTTATTCAGCATTTGGCGATTAGATGAAACATCAACATAATTTCCCTCGCTTTGACCGATTCTCTGTGATTAAAGTCTGGAAAAATACAGTGAAAAAGGTGCAGCTTTTTTATGGGATTGACAATTTTCGGCTTAGTTTTGGCTAAAAAAAAATTAGCGTGTTACTTATTAAGTTGAGTTAACAAATTTGCAGGGTGCAACAGAGCACATAGGACAAGTTTTCAAACGAATTAAGATCCAGCTGAAAAGAGCATACAAGATAGATAACTGGTATGCTGCTTTGTCTTTGTGTTGGATTTTTATGTTTAGGTTCTGCTGCTCAGTAGACTTTATAGTGTTCTAAATCTGTTTTGTAAATGTGCTAAAAGATTGGACATGTTATTGAATATTAGCCATGTAGTTTGAATTGGATATGTGATTGAATGTTAGGTATTTAGTTTGAATTGATTTGGATATGTGGTTTATTGAATTGGAATTTGGATATGTGCTAATTTGAATTGGATATGTTGAATTAGAGATGTGCTACTTTGAATTGGATAGGTTGAATTGGAGTGTGCTATATTGATATATGATGAACTGATGGTTACAGAACACACACGCACACACTCACCAGTCATCACATACTCTGGGGATGCATAACCATAGGTTCCCACGACTCGCGTCGAAACATGAGTTTTATCACCCTTCGCAAGTTCGAAATCCGAAAGCTTGCCATTGTAATCCTAAAATAACTCATTCATTTAACACATGAAAATTATGCATTTTCATAATTAAAGTTTTAAATTGTCATCATTCTGTTCAAATGCACCATTTCCGTTTTGTTTCCCTTCTCTCATCTTGCAAACACTCCTGTGTCTATTTCCTTTTAATTTCGGTTAATGCAGGTTTTGAAATTTGTGATGATCATTTTCATATTTCTATAAATTTTGAGAGAAAAAAGCATGTGAAAAAAACACCTAAAAGCAGCTAAGTAAACAGTTTAATCAAGAAGCAATTCAGAAGTAGAACCAAATAAGCCACAGTCCAACTTTTGCACACCCTCCGGCGTAATTTAATATCAGAAACCGTCTCCTGAATTCAAGTTTTCCTAGAGCTTCTAATTGTGTGTGCCCATAGTGTCTTTCTTGGTCTACAACCAAGGACTGATTAGTGAGAGCAATATCAGAAACCGTCTCCTGAATTCAAGTTTTCCTAGAGCTTCTAATTGTGTGTGCCCATAGTGTCTTTCTTGGTCTACAACCAAGGACTGATTAGTGAGAGCAATATCAGAAACCGTCTCCTGAATTCAAGTTTGCCTAGAGCTTCTAATTGTGTGTGCCCATCGTGTCTTTCTTAGTCTACAACCAAGGACTAATTAGTGAGAGCTTCAAAAATAGATAGTTATCATAAACAAACAATTGATCACAATGATAATTTGGGTTTATAGTGCTTCTAAATGCTGTTTTAATTGAGTTTTCTGTGTTTGGTCGATTTGTTGTTGCGGATGGGTGATACGTTTTTTTTCTTTCAGTTAAGAAACGATGCCTTTCAGAATTTGTAATTTTTTGTTGGGGTTTTTTCAAGCTGCTGTGTTAAAGGTATATGATGTGTTTTTTTCTTTTCGCTTTATTCTTGCTGATTTGGGATGGTTTTTACATTGTATTTTTGTTATGAGTTTGTTGTCCCATTTTTGTAATGGACTTGGAATGAAATGGGATTGGAGGGTGATAAAAATTTCTAGCTAGCTAGGGAAAGGTCAGAGTGTTCAGATTTTGCAGGTGGGATATTAGGGTGAGGGATATTAGGCCGTGCCTTTGGAAGGTCTCACTGCTTTTAAAGTTGAATGGTGCTAACTGAATATAATGCGTTCATTCTTCAGTGTGCGTGAGCGTATGTGTATGCAGTATATGTGAGTGCATGCAGTGTCACTTGGGCCGTTGGCTTTTTGAGGTATGTTCATTTATAGAGATTTTGTAACTGTATTGTTGAATTTTTAATGTATTCTTGGATTTTAAAGGGGCACCATATTTATGGGTTGTTGTACGATTCTAGGGAGATAAAGAGGGGATTGAGAGGTCATGCTAAGGAGAGTATATTACTTGAGAACTTTTTTGGAAACCATCTCTTTCTAATCAAAGACGTTCAGTTTCGTCCCACTCATTGTACAATGTGTTTATATGCCAGCTCACTTGAATGTATATAAAAAAAAATTGTTTGCTCATAATTGTGTTGAATTTATTCAACTTAAATGTGTTTTATTCATCCGATTACACCTGAAACAACATGTTCCCGCAGCAACGCGCGAGCATATTTTCTCGTCTATATACTAAAACCCGGTGGAAAAGTACTGTTTACCAGCAGTAAAATGGCGGAATTGCCTTCATTCAACTTTCCTTGCCCCGTTGTTTTTCCATCTTAGCATAGTGAAATTACGCATTTGTCCAAGTTGGCCACGCGTCCATCATCGTCTGAACCTCTACTTCGACTGCAGCTTCTCGAATTTTCCATCCGTTTCCAGTTCTCTCTTTCGCAAATCTCTGCTTCCGTTGCTCACAACTTGCCTTCTATCACTCTCAAACGCCGGGTAAGCTATCGACCACCCCCTCTCTACCTTCTTCTTCTTCTTCTTCTTCTTTCGCTTCTCCCTGTGAAAATCTGAGAGACGCCTACCACAATTGCTTCACTGGGTCATCTCAGCATAAAATTAGTTTTTATTATTGCTCTTAAACCCTAATCTCTCTCTCGCCTCTCTCTAAAATCCATCTGAAAAAGGTATAATGGGTATTGTTTATGTTTGCAGTTTGTACTCGGCAAAGTCTGTGAAGGACCAATAAATGGATTCGAAGATGAACCAAGTCAAGGGACACGGAGCTCAGAATATCAGAGGTGTAAATTGGCTGCCCTAAAAATTTTTTATTTAATTAATTTCAACGGGTATATAAGAATTCTTAGTATGAATAGTGTCTGTGTTGAGTCTCTGAGCATCTTGATTTTTTATATTAAATGATCTCTGTAGTGTCTGTATATTTGTGCATCCATGCATTAATATGATTTATTTCATTCATTGTTTCCTATATCCGAATTTAAATCTATTTAATTTTTGAAATTGATCTGGGATGTTGAGAAATTGGAGCTCTTCTGGTGTCAGATCCATTTTGATTTGGGGATCTGATGCGAAGAAAATGAAATAAAATTTGGGTTTTGGATTGATGTGGTGTTTGGTTTTATTTCCAGTTGTCAGTGCTTACCACCTGTTTGAGAAAATGTATTAAACATGTTTTTGGGCTTTTTTTAGATTATCTATATGTTTTGAATGTTTTTTGGTTTGTCATGTATATAAGAATGTGAAATAGACTATCTGAGGTAATCAATTGTGAGTGGCGAACGAGCACTTTGGTGCCTATCTACAAGAATAAGGGCGATGTACAAAATTGCATGAACTATAGGGGTATTAAGCTAATGAGTCATACAATGAAGCTCTGGGAGAGAGTCATTGAGCATAGATTGAGGCAAGAGACACGGGTTTCGGACAACCAATTCGGGTTCATGCCAGGGCGCTCAACCATGGAGGCAATCTATCTCTTACGAAGATTGATGGAAAGATATAGAGATGGGAAAAAGGATTTACACATGGTCTTTATAGATTTGGAAAAAGCGTATGATAGGGTCCCAAGAGACATTCTTTGGAGGATTTTAGAGAAGAAAGGAGTACGAGTAGCATATATCCAAGCTATACAGGATATGTATGAAGGAGCAAAGACTGCCGTAAGAACTCATGAAGGACAAACCGAAAGTTTTCCCATAACTGGAGGATTACATCAAGGCTCATCCTTAAGTCCTTACCTTTTTGCGTTGGTAATGGATGAGTTAACAGGACATATTCAAGATGATATTCCTTGGTGTATGCTTTTCGCAGACGATATAGTGTTGATAGATGAAACTCAGGAAGGGGTAAATGCAAAGCTTAACCTTTGGAGAGAAGTGTTGGAATCTAAAGGTCTTCGCCTAAGCCGATCAAAGACAGAATATATGGAGTGCAAGTTCAGTGCAAATGGAGGTCAAAACGAGTTAGGGGTGAGGATCGGAGATCCAGAAATACCAAAGAGCGACCGTTTTCGTTACCTAGGATCTATCTTGCAAAAGAACGGAGAATTAGATGGAGATCTCAACCATAGAATACAAGCTGGATGGATGAAGTGGAAGAGTGCATCCGGCGTGTTGTGTGACCGCCGTATGCCACTGAAGCTCAAGGGAAAATTTTATAGGACGGCAATAAGGCCGGCGATGCTGTATGGCACAGAATGTTGGGCGGTGAAGCATCAACACGTACACGAGATGAGGATGCTTCGTTGGATGTGTGGGCACACGAGAAAGGATAAGATTAGGAATGAGGATATCCGGGGTAAAGTAAGAGTAGCCGAAATTGAAGGAAAGATGAGAGAAAATCGGTTACGGTGGTTTGGACATGTGCAAAGAAGGCCTACTGACGCTCCGATTAGAAGATGTGACCATGGGACAGAGGTTCAGGGCCGAAGGGGTAGAGGAAGACCTAGGAAAACTTTGGAAGAGACCCTAAGAAAAGACTTAGAGTACTTGGATCTAACGGAGGACATGACACAGGACAGAACACAATGGCGTTCTAAGATTCATATAGCCGATCCCACTCAGTGACTTAGATTTTCCAAGTCTCCAACCGAGAAGTTTTCCTCACTCGGGAAATTAAGGGAACACTACCTCAACCTACATGCTCCACTCACAAAGCTTTAACATACAAGCTTTAACAAAAGAAAATTCAAAGAACTTAGCGAAGAAGGCTTTGGTGTATTTAACACAATACGTTGAAATGAAGGAAAGCTGATTTATTAATATCCCCGATCAGTTACAAATATGTACATATACTTGAGTCAAAATAAACAAACAAGAGGGAGCCTTCACAAAGGTTGCTTAGAAGAAGTCTCAGCAGTCGGTAGAGCCCCAGAAAGAGAAGGCACCGGAGGGGGATCATTCGGAGCCTCAGTACTGGACAGAACCCTAGAAGGAGGAGGCATCAGAGGTTGATCATTTGGAGCTTCATTACGCGGTTCAGCCCCAGAAGACGAAGGCAATAAATGCCTTTGGAACAAACCCACAAATCTCTGATGATCAAGTAAAACCTGACCATCAGATTCCTTCATCTAGTCAAGCTTCCTCTTCATGTTTGTAGCATAGTCATGTGCGAGCCGGTGCAAATGTTTATTCTCATGCTTGAGCCCTCTAATCTCCTGTTTGAGACTCATCACTTCAACCGCCAATGATTCAACTTGGCGGGTTCGAGCAAATAGGCGTTGGGCCATATTAGACACAAAACCTGCACACTAAACACTCAGAGCCAGAGAATCCTTAACAGCCAACTCATCAGACCGTTTGGAAAGTAGTCTGTTATCTTTAGGAGTGAGAAGGTTCCTGGCCACTACCGCAGCGGTCATATCATTCTTCATCACGGAATCCCCAACGGTAAGAGGACCAGTAGGGGAGACGAAGGATGGGCGCCATATGTTTCTGGAGAAGGCGGGGCTACCTCTTCAACAAGGTTCAAGTCAAAACGACGGTCGGAGGGGCCAGACATTTTCAAAGGTGTTGAAGAGAGAAGAGGTCGGACAAATCAAGATCTTAGAAGTGCAAGAATGGAGCTTCTACTGGTGGATATTCAAGTGTGCTTTGGAACTTAATGTCAGCCCCTATAAAAATCTGCACTCGACGAAGCTTCAGAAATCAAAGAGGCGCCTGCTCAGAAATCGAAGAGGCGTTTGCTTTCTCAAAAGCTGGGCTGCTCAGAGACCACGAGGGTCGATCTCAGAAATCGAAGAGGCGTTGGCTTTCTCAAAAGCTGGGCTGCTCAAAGACCACGAAGGCCGATCTCAGAAATCGAAGAGGCTTGCTTTCTCAAAAGCTGGGCTGTTCAGAGACCACGAGGGCCGATCTCAGAAATTGAAGAGGCACCTACTTTTCCAGCCTCGTCAGCACCTGTCACACGCACACTCAGCTTTGCGGAAATTATGGGCATTCTGTCGAAGATTTCTGGCGAAGTAGAAAGCACATGAATCGTACTGTTCAATCACCCACTTCCCACACGCAACAGTAGCTCATGGGTACCACAGATAACTTTGCCAAAGTTCTCTGACAAAGTTGAGACACGTGAAGCTTGCAGCTCCCACTACATCGCTCTGACCAAGAAGGGTAAAAGAATAGCAAAGAAACAACACTACCAAAGTTTAGACACATAAATTTTGAAGGTCTAGCTACCATATTATTACCCACAAGGGTAAAGGAACAGTACCACTGCTGGATAATTGGAAAGTCCCGGTGTGTCAACCTCTGTGCTTCGTGGCAAGGTAGACTAGCAAACATGCCCAACCTTTACTCACATTCGAGAAAACACTCCCAACAAGATTGCTTGCTCCAAAATCGAAAGAGGCACCGCCCTCCGAATCTCGAGAGCCAGACTCTCAACATGATTATTTTCTCAAAAATCGAAGAGAGGGTAAAGGAACAGTACCACTGCTGGATAATTGGAAAGTCCCGGTGTGTCAACCTCTGTGCTTCGTGGCAAGGTAGACTAGCAAACATGCCCAACCTTTACTCACATTCGAGAAAAACACTCCTAACAAGATTGCTTGCTCCAAAATCGAAGAGGCACCGCCCTCCGAATCTCGAGAGCCAGACTCCCAACATGATTACTTTCTCAAAAATCGAAGAGAGGGTAAAGGAACAGTACCACTGCTGGATAATTGGAAAGTCCCTGTGTGTCAACCTCTGTGCTTCGTGGCAAGGTAGACTAGCAAACATGCCCAACCTTTACTCACATTCGAGAAAACACTCCCAACAAGATTGCTTGCCCCAAAATTGAAGAGGCACCGTCCTCCGAATCTCGAGAGCCAGACTCCCAACATGATTACTTTCTCAAAAATCGAAGAGACACCGCTCTCCGAATCTCGAGAGCCAGACCCCCAGCATGATTGCTTTCTCAAAAATCGAAGAGGCATCGTTCTCCGAATCTAGAGAGCCAGATCCCCGACAGGATTGCTTGTTCGAAAACCGAAGAGGCACCACTTTCCCAACTTCAAGAGCTGGATCTCCTTGGATAAAGCTTGTCTGTAATCTTCACACGCAACATCAGCTTTCTAGATACCACAGACCACTTTTTCAAAGTGCTCTGACAGAGTTAAAACATGTGAAGCTGGCAGCTCCCACTACCATGCTATGACCAAGCAGGGTAAAGGAATAGCATTATTACTTGATGTTAGGGAGACTCCTATATATGTCAACCTCCATCCTCAACGGACAGGCAGACCTGCAAAAATGCTCAACCCTTCCTCTTATCTGAGAGGGCACTCCCAACGAAGCCTTTCGAAATTTTCAGCTTTCTTTCCCCCCAATAATACCTCTGTAAACAAGCTATACTAGAGCAAGAATATCTCATATCATCAGGGTTAAAAGCAAGAGTATCCCATATCATGCTTTTTCCCTGTCTTTTCCTTTGGCCTTGTTCTTACCTGCAAGACAAGGAGAAAGAGAGCAATCAGTCAGCACTTGGAATCAAGCTTCCAGCCAGAAACTGACTGCCTGGAATTACTTACCTGGCATTGCTCTCGAGTACTCATCTTCAACATCTTAGGCTTCCAGGGAAGATACCACATCTGCCTGAGGAACAGCTAGGGCAAGTGAGAAGGATACAAGGAAGCATGTGGAGACAAGCGTAACAGCACACGTGCCGATACATCCACTACTCTGTCAAAAGCAAAAGTATCCCATATCAGCAGGGTCGAACGTACTCTAGATTTGATGGACTTGTTTTGACCCTCAAATTCTTCAGTCGGCCTTATACTCTGGAGGAAACCAGAAAAACCCTCCAGCCCAGTTCAAGAATAAGCCTGTGGAAAGTTACTTCTTCAAAAGCAAAAGTATCCCATATCATCTCTTCTCATTTTTCTTCTCTTTATCCTTCATGCTGCCTGCAAGATAGGGATAATGTGAACAATCAGCCGGAGCTCTGATTGCTTACCTTGTCTGTCACCTCTTTCAGCAGATACCCTAGCTCGGCGACTTGGGGGACTCCTACTACATGGTTTGTATCGCGCTTGACCAAGCCTGAAACTACAAGTAAGCTTCAAGTGAAATTGATACATTACCTTGTGCATCTGCACCAGTTACAGATACCACCCCTGGATGGAGGAAGAGTACTTCCAGAGAAGATGCCACATCTACCTATGAGACAGATAAGGCAAGTCAAGACGATACCACACTCCGGTACTTAAGTTTCGTGGTTACGAGATCATTCTCCCACAATATTTCCTAATGTCATTTGTACTAAATCATTCACTTGTACTCACTAAAGGAGAGCTTGAACCTATGTACTTGTGTAAACCCTTCACAATTAATGAGAACTCCTCTATTCCGTGGACGTAGCCAATCTAGGTGAACCACGTACATCTTGTGTTTGCTTTCCTATCTCTATCCATTTATATACTTATCCACACTAATAACCGGAGCAATCTAGCGAAGATCACAAAAAGTGACCGTTTTCGCTACCTAGGATCTATCTTGCAAGAGAACGGAGAATTAGATGGAGATCTCAACAGAAGAATAAAAACTTGGATCTAACGGAGGACATGACACAAAACCGAGTGCAATGGCGTTCTAGGATTCATATAGCCGACCCCACTTAGTGGGAAAAGGCTTTGTTGTTGTTGTTGTTGTAAAGATTTTAATCTTCTGCACTTCAAATTTGAAGCACGCTGTAGTACAGAGTATACATTTCTTTGTTCCACTTTTTTAGTTAAGGGTTCTTTTTTATTTGACTTTAACTTTGATTTTTGAAACGGTCCCTGCTGCTGCTAATGAAGATTTCTCAAGAGGGTTTTGCCTTTCTGAAGAGTTACTTTCAAGGATAAAAATGAGTGTTCCAAAGAAAGCTAGGAGTTCCAGTGATGAAATTGAACTTATCTTCTTGGTAAGGAGTTTCATTTTTTTGGTTTTTAAGATGATAAAAAATTATTTGTTTTCTTATTTGGTCTTTTGCCAAGGGATTGAGTTGCTTTTGCGACGGAGACATTTCAGAAGAGAATGAGACTTTCCATGTAAGATAGAGATGATACAAAACTATAAATGGATGTCTTATTATCTAATTAGGTTCAGTTTGTATTTAATACATATAATTGTATTGGTAGGTCTGGAGTACTTTCTCTGCATGCTTAGGGTAAATTGTTTGCCTATTCTGGGAGCAGCTATCCCGAGGTTGATTGATAGGGTGAATATTGAATCTATCGACATTAAAAGGACTTGGTTAGTATGGCAAAAGTTCTGTTACTTTGTTTTCACTGAACTAAGAGAATAATTTTATTTTTGTATCAAAGATTCATTCATGATCGCATATTTATGTGCGCAGGCAGGGTCTTTGATTGGTGGTGACCCAGAGCAACAATTTGCAATGTGCTGTGAATGTTTGCAGATGTGCTTCAACGTTGAGGTCAATTAATTTCTAAACTCATGATTACATTGACTAGCCTAATACCTAGGTATAATGCGAAAGAGTGAAGCCTTAACCACACATGTGCATAAGAGTGAAGCAATTGCTGACATTGTTGTAAACTTTGCTTCTTCCTTTATTCTTTCAACGTTGAGGATTATTTGATTGTTTTTATACAATCGAAAGTTGGTCATGAAACATGAGTGATACGTTTCTATACAAGTTTCGGTGGGGCACCCCATAGAAAACAAATTTTCTGTTTGTGTAGCAATGTAGTTGAAAGCTACCATATTTTCTGTTTATGTTGAGCAAAACTATGATCAACATCAAAACAAATCATCCATCGTGTCCTTATTTGTTATGGTACTTTTTTTACAGTTTCATAGAGAGCAAATTGATCGCTTTCACTTTTGGAAGCAACTAAACTCTTACCAAATCAAAATCTCTTTTTCAAGTTTTAATATTTCACTTTAGTTTTTTGTTTTTGCCTTTTTTAATGGGTAGTATTGTTATTTGGAGACATGCTACATGAAAGCATTTATACATTGTTGTACTAACAAAATATAAATTTTCAATTTCAGATCAAAATGAGTATATTTCCAATCCAAAGTTTGGGTCCATTTGATGCTAGCAAAAAATTTGAGTTTGTGTTAGCAAAATGTGGAGACAAAAAGTTATCAAATCTAATATTCAGTTTTCTCATTTGCACTGCATATTGGTTGATGCATTGGTAAGAAAAATATCTACTTACACTATTCAAATGTAAAGATTAGTTAACTTATTTTTTAGTTTAATGGCTGTTTGGATGAATAAAAATCTTTTTTGTTCAAATGTCCTTTTGAATGGATAATGAAATCGATATAGATTTTGTTTTTATCCTTTGCTTTATCAGTTTATCTTACTTATTTGAGCTAAACGCAAATCCCAATATTGCATAGTTAAGCCCTAAAATTAGAACACAATTTCTTTACATGAAACTGAAGTTTTCACTAATTGAGAACTCTCTTTTTGTTCAAATTGTGTTGCAAATTTTGTGTTTTTTTTTTCTTTTAACAGGTGGACTTAAAAGAGATAGAGGTCAACTCTTTCTCTCATGTTAACTTCTACTGTGATCTTTTTGTTATTAAATTTTGGTGGAAACATTGTTTAGTATAAACCTTATCACAATACAATATGAAGATGAATTAGAAATAGAGAGGTGTTAATTTGATTTTTTGTTTACTTTAGCGATTCTGGATAATAATCATGAATGTTGGTGATATTGCATCTCTGTTTTTTTTCTTTTATACCACGATTATGCATATTGTTTATTTCAAGCATGTTATTGTGATAGCTGAATGATTCATATTGCAGAACATGCTTAAAAAATTATAGCTTTAACTGATCACTCATCTTTAATCTCTCTCCCTCCCTCTCACTATTGCAGTAACTCCCGTTGTATTCCATTTGCTTTTGTTGCTGCCGGTTTGCAAGTAAATCTTTACTTTCCATACAAAGTTTGCATTTTTCTATTCCTGACACAATTATTTGACACTATGTTTTCTTTCAAGTTGGTGTGTGAGTGCATTTTCCACTAATCTTTCTGTTGAACTCTCACTGAGTTCCGATTTTGATCACAATATTCTTTGCATTTTCTCCTCTGTCCTATGTTCCACTTATTTCAACTTCCAATTTATCCACATTAAATGTTCATGGTTTAAGGGCATTGTTCTAATATTATATTATTTTATTTATTTTAACAAAATTGCAGACAATATACTTCTTCCAAAATAAGAGGAAAAAAATGTGTGATTCTCTGCAAAGCACTTACCAAAGAAAGAAATATGATAAGTAAGTATATCTTTTGTATGTTTACATTTTAAAATTTCCAGATTGGGTAATGAATATGATTAAATTTATTCCAACAGCTTCTATCATGCAAATATAATTGATAAACATGACGTTTATCCCATTAACTTTCTCTGCAATGCATGACATGTTTTTGGTTTTCTAGCTGCTGAGTATGGAATGCCAAAGAACCCACTTAATCAGGGAGCTCCACATATTTTTAGAGAGATTTTTTTAAAAATTTATTTTTGGTTAGTTGTATATTTCGATTTTGCTTCTCTGGAGGCAAAAATGAGATTATCGACTCACTAAATAACTGTCTTTCGCTTTGTTGTTATTTTATGTGTTCCTTGGATAAACAGCTACATATCAACATCAACAACATCAACGGTGTGTTGCCAATTCAATTTGCAAGAAAGATTTTGAAAATGCTCAAGGAGAAGAAGAGGTCAGAAATTTCGTTTGGATTTTATACTTTGGAAAATGTTCTATTCCTATGCATATTTGATTTTTATGAGGTCAAATAGGTTCTGTATTAGTTGTGTGTGTTGGGTTGTTTGAGTTGATCCTAGCTGATTTTGATATATTGATTCGTCAGTGTAATTAAGTTGATTGAATTCGATTTTGAAGCTTGGGAAGAGAATTGGTTCTCAAAGTTTGATTTTCATGTTTTTGGTTTTTAGTTTAGTCAATTCTTTGCTGAAAAGTTGTATTCCGTTGAGCTACGATTTTTTGTAAGTCGGCTTTATCGATTTAATTTTTGGTACGTGAACATCTTTCTAACGTTTTCAATGTAAATATTATTAATTTTCTATCACAATAAGCAATCTTTTATATCATTCAAACGTAATCTTTCTTACAATTGTTTATCCCGCAGCAACGCGCGGGTAACATTTTCTAGTAGGAAACTAAAATAAGCACAACAAAATGGAGCAATATATCCTTGTTTCTTCCAATGGAAAAAAAGGGTAACGAGATTATGAAAAACAGTTGACAAGACACGGTGCAGATTTCCCAAGACTAAATATTCACTTCTACAAAGATACATAATTCCAAAGTACAAATTCCCCAAGTTTGAATCAGTAAAGCTTGAACAATCAAGATAAGCAGGAGAAATCGTAACAATTATTCTCTGATTCTTACAATGTACGAGAGGCAATAAAGCTATTGAACATCATAAAGATCAAAAGTTATCTAAGATTGAAGTTTGTTCCTGGAGAGAGTAAGAATAAAAATGTGTCAACAATTTTCTAAAACCAGAACTTGGTGAACAAGTTTTGCAAGATGAAGTTGGATTTAGACTCGTTTGAAATTATTTTTATAAAAAATGTTTACACTCAGAAGCGCTTCCGTTAGAAACATTATCAGTAACAAATTAAATTTTTTATAAAAATTCAAGTGTTCTTGTAATCATAAAAAATGAAAAATAGTTTGTATCCAACACCAATAATATTTGAGATAAATGTACTTCTTTTTCTTTCTTTTTTTTTTTGGGGGGAATAAAGATTATTATTCATAAGGCTTAGGCATGCTTTTTTTATATCAATTCAGAAGTGTTGATGTGATGATAAACCAAACATTAAAGAGTCTTTAATGTTTTTTTTTTTTTAACTCTAGACGCAATAGTAGCTCACACGCACTTAAGTTACTTTCTTTCATTGATGTATCGTAAAAATTAACAGTTAGACATTCACCGATACACGCGTGCGTATCTGTCCTAGGAGCTACACATTTCTTGACAAAATTAACTTAAAACGGCAACTAAGGCAGAGAAAGAGGAAAACTAGAGTTGTTGAAACAAATGAAAAAGAAAATTAGAAGTCCAAGATGTAACAATGACAACATTATTACCCATCCAAGCCAGCACATTTGCTGCATATTTAGTTTCATAAAAAGCTAAGAACATGTTTGGTACTCTACTTGAATCCAACTTTTTAAACTCAAAAATAATTTTCAAGTTTTAGATTTTAAAAACTTATTTGGTATGATTATTTTTAAAAACTGAACTCAAGACTAACTCAAAAATATAATCTATTATCTAAAAACAAAAAAAAAATGAGAGCCTGTTTGGTATCCTATTTGAAATTTTTTATCATTTCTCAAAACATTTCTTGAAAACATTTCTTGAAAACAATTTTCTTTAAGACTCAAAAAAAATCTTCTGACTTAAACTTGATTGGATTGGAGGAGAGGCGAAAAAGGTAAAAAAAAAAAAAAAATAGGAGAAAGAAAGAAGAAAAAGAGAGATAGATTTGGAGTGAGAGGGGAGAAGGGAGAGAAAAGAAATGAGTGAGTTTAAGTTTAAAAACTCTAAAAACTCACTTTTTATGTTTTTAGAGAACAGACTTTATTTTTTAGTTAATCTTGAATTCAGTTTCTGAAAATAGTCATACCAAACAAGTTTTTAAGGCCTAAAACTTGAAAAATGATTTTGAGTTTAAAAAATTATATTCAAGTACAGTACCAAACAGGCCCTGAGTTTTTAGAGTTTTTAAACTTAAACTTACTCCTTTTTTTCTCTTCCTTCTCTCCCCTCACTCCAAATCTATCTCTCTCTCTCTTCTTCTTTCTCTCTCCCTCTTTTTTTTTTTTTACCTTTTTAGTCTCTCCTTCGATCTGCTATTTTCATTCTCTCAATTCTTCCTCTCACTCATCTTCCTCTCTATCTCCACCGATCCTCTCACTTCTTTCTCTTTCCTCCAATCATCTTACTTTCTTTCCTTCTATCTCCTCTTTTTCTCTTGACCCCTTCTTTTTTAATCTTTTTGTTCAATTTAAATTGTAAGATTTAAAATTTTTAAATCGCATACTAAACAAGTTCTTGAGTCTTAAAGAAAGTTATTTTCAAGAAAAATTCTTAAGAATTTTTTGAGAAATTATAAAAAATTCAAATATGATACCAAACAAACCCTAAACTTTCTCATCTTTCTATATTTCATTTACATTTCGTCTACATCCCTTCCGTCATCATTCTTTCGCACTTCTTCATTGCTAAACGGACCCTAGGATTGCCGACGTTTTGCCATAGAGATTATTTGACAAAACAGTTTGCAGTCTAAAACCCAGGAATTATTATTAAACATTTTCTTGGGTCCGACTACAATGGAATATACCGCTAAATGACATGAATTTTATACAAAACCTAATTGTTACAAAGATCCATTAGATCCTTACATGCAAGATCTAATCGTTTCCAGACCGCTCAGACGTTATCACGAAAGAAAAATTGCATTTTCTTCCGACTATTCACTGTGAGATGCACTTGAAAAACGCAGGAAAAATGTTGAGAAAAGAGTGCAATTATACAACTCTTCTGCTGATAAATCGGAGAGAATTCCAAACCAAATCGGAACCAATTTCACAAAATTATGAATCCTCGCACATCTACACTGAAAACTTTCATACAACATCGAGCAATATAGCTGTCGGTGAGATCTGCATCTACTACTCTGGGGTGTCTTAGAATAATCACGATGATCCTGCAAATAAGTATTTGAGTAACGGAGCAACCACTGCTATACTCAAACAGTTCCCCAGCAATGCATAACTGCAGCATAAAAGAAACGGACAGAAAACGTTAGACTTGCTGAACAACCACTGTCATGTTTAACAGTAGTATCCCAGCAAAATGAGAAGCTGAAAAGTTTGTATTTCTCACTTACTGACTTACACAGAATAATTTTCATCAAATAAAAGGCACAGCATTGTTTATTTTCTGCTAAAATACACATCAA